TCTTAAAACGCGTGTCAGCTTTGATAAATTCTGGATAAAGTTTGAGATAAAGTGGCAAAACATCAATGTCGGCATTCCCCGTAGATCATTTCTCCCATTTTCGGCTTTCACCGCAGTCCGGGGCAACGCCGAAAAAATCACTTCCTTGATATTTTTAGTTTGTGCGCTTAACGGTATGCGAATTCATCAAATGCGCCTGGTATGTTTGACAGGCAAAAGACTGGCCTCTCGAATGACGCCAACAAGAATAGCTTATGTTGTCTACCTTGCGTGCTACGGGCGTCAGAAAAAAAAAGTATTCGGCGTTCCCCCAACTTCCCCTAATCCTCAACATGACGTGACTTGTCACGTGCCTAAGGTCGACAATGCCCAAAAGCTCCGCATCAAACCTTTCAAGGCGCCCTATATGAGCTAACGATTTCATATGCTAACTTGAGACAATCTTTGATAGTTTCTGGCGGCCATTTTCAGCACCGACAGTTTTACCCCGTGAGTTGGGCATTGACTTGTAGGTATAGGACGTAAGAAATGGTGGGGCCATGTGATCCTTCTGAAAAAAAAACGAAATAAGCAAGTTGTCAGGGCTTTGATGCTTAGGTAACTACTGAAGCCACCTCGTAATTTCATCTCCCCATGCGAAGGATTTCCCATATGGCGCCGGGCGTGTTGCGAAGCAGCAACATTTTAGGATGGTGCAGGCTGAGGTCTAGAATGGCAACATACCGACATGTCAGTGACCTGGTCTGAGCCGAAAATTATTCAACGGGTTCGATTTGAATGAAATGGCAGACACGTTTTAGCTCTTTTGGAGTTTTTATTAGCAATCGAGAGAAGAAGAAAAATATGTTAAAGGCAGGGCAGCGAAGGCGACGGATTTTCGGTGACTCCTACTCCGACTACGACTCCGGGCAGATTTCAACTGTCCATTCTGACCGACTCCGATAAATACTCCCACTCCGGGATACCTACTCCCTTGCCTACTCCCAAGATACTCCCACTCTGGCTCCATGTGCAGCCCTGCCTGGCGCCTGCATGTCTGCGGAGTCAGAAGATTCTCGGTGACTCCGACTCCGACTCCGATTCTGGCTTTCAAAATCGACTCCAACTCCGACTCTGATCAGAACTGGCGACTTCGAAGTTCTGACCACCTCAAACTTCACCTCCGACTCCGCACCTCTGGCCTAAGGTCATGGTGGCATTCCTTTGTGGCCGAACAGAGTTATTTACCCAAAACTGCTCATATGGCAGCAACAATTTTCCCTTCACTGTGGTAGCCCAAAAGTAAGACAATTCAGGCGCTCTTGATACATAGCTGACGCTCTCCGGAAAAATGGATAAACGTGCTGTGCACCATAAATAAACTGGTAAATAATCTTCACTTATTTATGTTATTATGATTTATAAGCATCGTGCGAAAGAAAAAATGAACCTAGAAAATATAGGGAGGACAAAATTGAAATACCAAATGGGAACAGTGAGAGTGAATTCGGATAGTGATAGCGCTTTCCCTGGGCGGTAATCACCACGCCATGTTGATGTGTGGATCGCCCATGATCGTAAATACAATACAATACAATACAATACCTCGTGGGCTGTGGCGATCATTTAATTTGGATTGCATACGGCAGTTCTCTATATAATGTGCATACGGTTTAGGGGTAAATGTCAAATTTGTGGTAATGTTTGTAGGGATATGTTTTACATTTGGAGTTTGTTATCGTGATGAATTCTTTTTCTTTTGTAAACACGAAGATGCAACAGCATTATCAGTTTTGCAATTATTGATACATTTTGATTTACTGAAGCAGTTAAGCATGTAACTGTTCTTTATTGTATTGGTATGGAAATGCTAACCTTGTGCTAACACCTTGCAGCAAAGAGTTCATTAACTTCATTTTAAACTCATATGATCATAAAAGATGACTACAGTTCTGAAGTCTGCAATAGTTATTGGGACAGTGGCAAAGGTAAGACTACTCTGATTTCTCCCTGAATTATTTACATGTGATGACATTCTTCTTACTCCAAGACAATTGTAATGTAACCACATCACTGCACCTAAGTTTTGAGTGATGTTACTTTCTCAGCTTCAGATGTGCAGCTTCTTTATCTGTTTGACTCTGTTCCAGGCATGTCGACTGACAGTTCCTCAACAAACAAGACAAATATTGGCTGCACAACTCCCTGCCTCTGAACAGATGAGGTTCAAACACTGGAACCCTAAATTCAGAGTACTCAGAGGGAAAAAGGTATGATGGGAACATTCTTCTAGGCTATCCATTTCAGTTTTAATTACTGTACTGAAATTTATTGGAGTACTTAAGATTTCATGAGACTTTAAAAAATATCACGGCAGATTATCGTTTGTTCTTTAATATGCGAGATTATTATGATGGATTCGTAGTATTTTTTTTATTCATTGGTTCACACTTAACAATTCACAAGTAGGGTGATATATTGCAGTAGGATCATATCCTTGATATCAAATGCATTTTTATTGTGCATACAAAGCCTTGAAATATTCACCAGCGGCAGCTATGAGCTAGGTAACCCTTCCAGTTGCCTTCATCATAGTCTCCACAGTAGCACCTTCCAGCCACTATGCGCTCCACTCAGCACCTTCCAACCACTATGCGCTCCACAGTAGCACCTTCCAACCACTATGCGCTCCACTCTCTCTCCACAGATCATAAAGGTGGAGCTGCCCAACTTCAACGAGGACGAGGAGGCCAAGCAGCTGAGCCCGGACGAGATCCGTAAGAAGCTGAAGGAGAAGGGCATGCTGCCGCCGCGGCCGTGGCAGGAGCGCACCATGAGCATCGGCTGCACGGGTGGCGTGTTCGAGGAGTACGTGCCGCCCGAGGGCGACGGCAAGGTCTCCATCGTCTCCACCACGGTAAGTGGAGGGAGAGAGAGAGGAAACGAAATCGATCGGTGGATAATTGCTTCTGGATAAGAAGCCCCTCGCAGTCGGCGCGCCCCTAACCCCCAACAAACAAACGAAAATAAAGTTTCAGGGATGCTTGAGATGGATATTGGCCTGTGGTTAGACGTAATGAGAGATGACAACGTGCATTACAGCGTAAGAGATCTACCATCTTTTTTCCCACTCAAACTATCTTATTCACGCTTTTCGGTGGGCATATTGTATGCCATGTCAGCCCAATGTTCGCTCATGCGTCTGAACCCGTTCCCATCCGACCGCAGGGCTTCCCTACAGTCTCCTGACGTCCGTGACCCAGGCTCTGACCGCTGACCGACCCTGTCGCCGCCGCCAGGGTGCCAAGCAGCGGCTGACGGCGCTGGAGAAGAAGGGCAAGTCGATGCTGTCCGTGCGCAAGATCCGCAGCTACGACGAAGAGTTTGACGTCGGCGAGTTCGCCGAACAGGCGGTGGAGATCTACAAGGCGGCGCACGAGGCGCTCACGGCGCGGGACAAGGCCACGCTGCACGCCAACGTGACCGGTGCGTGACCCGGAGGATGGGAAACGAATGGTGCTGGTCCCAGAGGGGCTCAGGAGGGAGTGTGTGGTGGTGACACGCTCGTTTATATTTAGTAGTCTGTGTGATTGCCTGGGAATTAGGGTTCGTAAGGCTCAGTGTTCACCGGACTGATGTATTTGACGGTGGTAAGAGATACTGTATGTGGCAGCACTGATCGTGGCGGAATTAACCTCGGTAAGGAAGGCTGTGTGCTGCATCAAATAGTAAATCTTCGGTAGACGCCCGAACCGCCCGCGCTCCACAGTCCACTAAGTCTGACACCCTAATGCACGGGATTATCCTCCACAGAGCTGGCCTACCCGAAAATGATGCAGAACGTGCGCCACAAGACGGTCCGATGGCAGCTACTCAAGTCGCTGGAGCCGCCGCGAGTGGTTCACGTGCGCCACACGGACATCCTGAACAAAGAGAACGTGTTCGCTCAGGTGACGGTGCGGCTGCACACACAACAGGTGAGGACGGGGAGATTTGGCGGGATAAGGTCGGGGCTGGATAGTCGTGAATAGTTCGATGGTGTCCTGTCAAGCGCTACGGCATCATGCCTGACCAGTCTCAATGTGGATTAGGCAGCTAGCGATGGTAGATATATCTCGCTGCTGTTTGACTGGAATATTGAGTGTGTCTGGAGATAGGTATGACCCGTCTGAGATTAGTCAGGATAATTCAATCGCTCGGACTGTTTATTGTCACTTGCAGACGTCGATCTCTCCTTTGTTTATCCAGTCCTTTAACCCCTCTCGTTTCTCATTAACTCCCAACTCCCGCGCCCGGCCTCCCCGACATCCTCATCTTCACGCCCCTTCCCCCGACTCCCCGGCAGTTGCTGGCCATCTACGACCGGTTCGGCCGTCTCATGTACGGCTCGGAGGTGGTGGCCAAGGACGTACTCGAGTACGTCGTCTTCGAGAAACACCTGGCGGACGAGTACGGACGCTGGCGCATCCACAGCAAGGTGGTACCGGACTGGATGCCAGCCAGGGACCCCGTCACGCGGACATGGCGCAAAGAGCCGGTCCCGCCGCCGGAGGAGGGGGCGACGGAGCCGGAGAAGGGCGACCAGGGAGCGGAGACCGGAGAGAAGGCGGCCGCAGCGGCCAGCTAGGGCAGAGGGATGCACTGAGAGGGTGGAAGTGGAATGGGTGGACGACGTGACAGTCCGACGGAGCGTATGAGTCAGCGAGAATGGAATGCTGATTGACGGATGTCTCATTATAGTGTTGTTTTGTGATGCTCATGTGTGCTGAAGAGGAATACAGTCAGAATTGTCAAATAGGTACTTATTATATGTGTCGATTCTCAAATCTTAAGTTCTGTTCTACAGATCACGGACACAACTACGAAGTGTAACGAGCCTGCTACATGCTATGCAAACGACGTGTCCACCATTCGTTCATTACAGTCCTCGAGATGCTTCTGCAAACTCCTCAGAGACAGATAACCCGACTGATCACAACGGCACGACTGTGCATTATCGCAAAGCCTTTGAGAAGACCGTAGATAACTGGGTGGATGCACGATCCATAACTGGTAGCGCACGATCCATGTTTATTGACCGGAGTCTACCGTAATGTCCGGGGAACATGACCGAGCAGTTGATCAGTTATCAATCTCGTTTCCAAAATTGACTATATATATCGATGAACATGAGTGACAGCGTTATGAGAGATGGTCAGGCAAATAACTACGTGAAACAATGACAACCGCGATATTTACGTCATGAACGTACACAACCGCGACTATGTGTCACAGTTCTGACTCTGAGAAACCACATAAGCCAGCGTGGGCTATACAAGTGCCGCGTCCACCGGACCCACGTGAGCCCCCTGAGGCAGCACCACCCACCGATTTAACGGAAGCCGAGCTGTGTCAGTGCCTGCCCATCAGGCCCCGTCAAAATACGTCCCTTACAAATCAACCCGCACGAAACGGTCAATGTGCGCACAAACGAATACAAATGAACGTACAAAGAGATCTAACGACGCTAACAGTTCGTTCGTTAACTTTGCGTTAACACTCCACTATCCCGATCCCATTCCTACGTCATCGACGGGCGACGTAACAGTCGCAGTCCTCTGTACAGCTTAAACCCTCCCACCACTTCACACTCTAACCCACTCCCCACACCGTTAGCCCCTTCCCCGCTTTCCCATCCCACCTTCCACCCCTCCCACTCCGCCGCTCACTCTGGAAAGTCGATGACGAGTCCCTCCTCCTCGACATTGCTGGCGGTGCCGGCCGACTCGCGGCCCTCCTCGGCATCCTCCGTGCTGAAGAGCTGGCGGGGCACGGTGAGCGGCGCCCGCTCGGGCACCAGGTCCCGCCGGCGGACGGCCGTGCGCGTCTCCAGGTGACGCTCCACCTCCTCGGGAGTCATGTGGCCCGAGTCGCTGAACGCGCGAGACACCTGCGCTCGAGACGCCTGCCCGATAACGGAGACGGGCGAAAGGTGGTTAGAGAAGACTATATGATCACTGAAGGTACGGGGGATATATAGAACGGTGGCCTCGGTGGGTGAGGATGTATGCCTCAGAGTTCGGTTCGGTGTGGTGGTTTGTTGTGTTGAAGACAGAGAAGTAGGGGGCCGCAGATGGATGCCGCAGACAGGAAAATTAAACCGTTGAAACTGGGGCAGCATTGCGGACTGCCTGCGAATGACTGCGTACCTATCGCGATCGTCGTACGCAGGCGATCTAATCAATCACTGAAATATTTTCCATAATGATTTATTAATTGCTTACCTGGCTTTTATTCTTGATGATCTGCTTTTTTCGTTTCACCGGGGAACGTTCTGCGCCAGTATCGATCTTTCTCCTGAAACCGGAAAGATCAAGGTCTCAAGGATAATTAAGAGCAAAACACCCACAAAAACGTCCAAGGTTTTCTTTTCTCTGGCGTAACCAGACCTACTTAGAGAAAAATCTACTTATTAGTTTATTACCATGTCACCAACAACTCCATTTGTCCTTTTATCAGCAGAGAGAGGACCCTCCCCACGCCGAGGAACCCAGCACCCACCGTCCCGCTCTCCAGTTCAGACCACTCTGAGCAGCCCCTCCCTCCCATGCTGCCCCTACCCGCCGTGTCATGCCGTACCGGGCGTGCTTGGTGTCCAGCTCGGTGTCCGAGTCCTCAGTGCTCTCCGAGTCAGACGAGTTGACTGCTGTCTCGTACAACAACAGCCGGTCCAGCAGGAAACTCTTGTCGCGGTTCAGCTTTAGCAGCTTCCGCTGGCAGCGCTGCAACTCGTCACGATAGGACTCGTTTTCCTGCGGAAAGTGCAAGATACATTCATTAGACTAGATAAAAGCAACAACAAGCGTAACTCATGTAAGGGTGATATGGAAGCATTATACTTTATGTGAGGTGACAATTTGGCTGATATCAATCATTATTCACCCATCCAACAAAAAAGGTATCTAAAAAATGTGAGTGAATTATGTTCATCATGGAATAACCTTCAGTGAACATGGATATGAGACTTAAGTGAACAAACTGCAAGGCAACATATTTTTAAAATCTAAGCTTAACTTACAAACACCAATGTTTTAAGCTTGCGTTTTAGTTTTGAATATTTCACACGGTAATGTTCTGATTCATCTTTGATATTTATTGACGAGTTCATTTTAACAAGAATCGAATAATCTAACTCATAGGTACCAAAATGCTAAAAGCTATTTCACTAAACTATCATCAACGTCCCCACAACAGTCTTCAAAAACCACAACAAACTCAAGGCCCTATCTGGGCCCTATAACAAACTCATGCAACTCACGAGTGTGTTCAGCAGACGTAACCAGCTGCTTACGGTCGCATACCATGGACGTCCTTGATTGACGGACATTGGTCAATGCAGAATAGAGAAATATGATTGGCCGCTAGACTTTTATATCATCTGATAATCAAACGCACTGTCGGACTCATGAACACGTTGTTTGTTGTTGTGCGAATGCGCCAAGTGGACGGTGTTGCATGTCGGTAAATATTATGGGCTTTTTAACTTGTTTAAAGTGTTTTAGCTGCATGCAAACATTTTTTTGATATCTATATCTCATTAAGTTTGGAAAAATGTGCATGTCTTTGGAGGAATGTAACAGAAAGGTGTATATTTGCGTGTTTTGCAAATCGTTGGTTCAGCCGCAGTATCCAGGATAGCCGCGACTAATTTATTGTTTTGCCTGTTTTTCTACCGCAACGATTGGGTTGTAGATAACGTTATGCAAAAAACGTTTTAAAATAATGTAAATAAGATTGTGATATGTTCATTCATTTATAAAAAATCTCAACTTGAATGATGATTAATGTATAACATCCCTTTTCAACCACTTTACATATATAAGTCCACATCCATCTAAGTAGTATTTTCTGATTTATTTCCTTTTTCAAATAGTTGGTTAGTGATTAAGATAAATAACCAAAGATGCAAACATATAAGAGCAAGCTAAAACTTGGCTAAGACCTTATTTAAGCAAATTTTAATCAAAGTGAGAATGTAGCAAGGCAAGAGTGTGTATCAGTTTTTCTTTTGTCTTGGTAAGGGCAAGCCGTTAGGTGCTTAGATTTCTGGCACTTCTTTGACAGATTATAAAAGAAAGATCCTAATGAAAGTACATGAACATTGCATTGGAGACTTAGGAAGAATATTCATATTGTACTTCATTTGAACTTGTGACTCCGAAAATTTTGGTAAAAACTCATATTGAAACAAGTAAAGGAGGCTTCAAATCGGTTAAGTCTTGGTGCCTACTGATCTTATATGAAATGCTGCTTGTCTTGACCTCATGTACCTGTTTTTGATGCCCATGCCCCAATCAAGCGTGTGTCTATCCGTAACCCGACCGCTCCTCCCGTCTCCGCCGCCACCCGTAACCTCATGTCTCAACGTCGCGCTGCGCTTCGCCATCTAGGCCGCAACTCGAGCGAATACAGAGACCTAAACCGCTCAGTCCGGGCGGCAGTGCGTCGAGACAGGCGAATAGAGATACGGAGGGAAATTGGGGAGCGGGGCCCCAACAAAGTTTGGCAGTGCATCAGGTCAGTGGTAGCCGCGAAGAAGGACGGCCCAGACGTCCAGCCCGATCTATCTGCCGATGATTTAAATTCATTTTTTGTATCTGTCGGTCCTCGTGTCGCTGACGAGATCCGAGCCCAAAACACTCCCACCGATTTGGATGTGCGTCTCACCCGTGTCGGCGCATGCAGTTTTCAACTTCGTGAGATAACACTGGGGGAGCTCGAGCGGATTATTTTCAGCATGCGTAACTCGAGTGCCTGCGGCTCCGATAACGTGTGTGTCCGCATGCTGAAATTCGGATTCCCCGCTATTGGTGGTGTCATCCTGCATATTATCAATACCTGCTTAATCCAATCTGACATCCCCGATTCATGGAAACATTCCATAGTTCACCCTCTGTTCAAGTCTGGTAACCCTTCAGACCCCGCAAACTTCCGACCCATTTCCCTAGTTCCTGTAATCATGAAAGTAGTTGAACGCATTGTCCATCAGCAGCTCTACGCCTACCTCTCCCATAATCACCTTCTGGCATCCTCCCAGCACGGCTTCCGCCCCCGGCACTCCACGGAAACCGCGTTGCTGTCTGTCACTGAACACATCCTGGCCGCCACTGATAGGGGGGATTTGTCAATGCTATGCCTTCTCGATCTCAGTAAATGTTTCGACGTGATTGACCACGATCTTCTGATGCAAAAACTGATGTTACACGGCATTGAAATTTCCTGGTTCGCCGCCTATCTACATGGACACACTCAGAGCGTGTCTTTGAAAGATGTATCCGGACGTAGAGTGCTGTCTAGGCCTCTTTCTAATGCCATGGGTGTCTTCCAGGGCTCTGCGTTAGGGCCGCTTCTTTTCACCATTTTCTCTAACAACTTATCGCTATACGCGGGCGACGCAAAAGTGTTTCAGTATACCGATGACACTCAAGTATTGGTTAGCGGTCCAGCTCGGGACCTCGAAGTTCTCATCTCGCGCATGGAGGACTCGCTCGCGTCTCTCAACGACTGGTTTTGCGCTAACGCCCTCAAAGTGAACGCAAGTAAAACACAGCTTATTGTATTTGGCACTCGTCAAAATCTTCGTAAATTACCAGACTTTAGAGTACCATTCCGCAACGCAGCGTTGCAACCGTGCGCACAAGTCGGGAACCTTGGCGTCACTTTTGACAGCACTATGTCATGGGACGCACACGTCTCTGAACTCTGCCGCCGGTGTACGGGACTGTTGATTGGTCTTTCACATGCGCGCCACTGTCTCCCAGATGGCATCATTCGAACGCTCGTGACGGCACTCGTTGTATCGCGTATCCAGTACTGCCTTTCAGTTTATGGTAATGGGTCCCAAAAAAATTTCGATCGACTCCAAAAAATTCTTAACTTCGCCGCTAGAGTTATTTTCGGCCGCCGTAAATTTGACCATGTCTCCGACCTGCGAACAAAACTCGGGTGGTTGTCCCCGCGCGGTATGTCCGATTTCCACACCCTTGTCATCGCACACAAGGTCATACAGCGCCGTGAACCTGAGCAACTAGCAGCCCTGTTCGTCGCTAATAGCGCTATCCGCGAGAGACCATCCAGACAAGATCACTTCTTCCATCTTCCCCGTCCACGGCTGGAAACGGGCAAGCGGCGGTTTGGCTATCGAGCTGCAGCTCTGCTGAACAGCCTGCCACCTCACCTGTCGCAGCTGCCTCCCGCCCGCTTCGCCCGCGCTGTTAAAGCCGCAATCGTGGACGATGAATCAGCACATCGTCGCTGACCAATAGGATAGGGGTGGGTAAAAGCGATGAGGCTGTCCTGAGAGTGTTTTGTCCTAGTTTTGACGTGAGTGAATGTGCAACTGTTTTGAATGATTAGATTAGCAACCGCGGATACGGATTCTGAGCAGTAATCGCCACGCACTTTGTATGTGGATCGCTCTTAAATGTAAATACAATACAATACAATACCAAACCAACTAGACACAGTCATTACTCAAATGGGTATCTAATGACCTTTTAAGGTAAATACTCAATGAATTAGTGGACCTTTTGACAATTGACCATGTCATGATTTGTCTTTCATTGTTTTACATTTGCAACAATTAACATCAACATGGGCTGAGTTCTGGCTTCATGATACTAATCTGTTGCCTGACCCATTTCTGTTTCAGGCCAAGATGTCAAACGGCAGGGAGCACACTGTTCCGACAGACATTCTGGATGACCTGTGCAGCAGGTTCATTATCAATGTGCCAGAGGAGGAGAAGTCCCAGACAAACAGGATCATGTTCCAGGTGCGTCAGGAATGGCACAGATATATTCAATGACGGGGTTCAGGATCATTGTTTCAGAATGTTCTGTCCCCAGATCCCCAAGTCTGGTCACCCTTGTAGTTGATGATCAGTAGATAACAAAAATGACAAATGTTTCCTGTCACTAATGGATAGATAGGTATGTAACTTTCTTGGTAAAAGTGCAAAAATATAAAGGTGAGCTCTTACAAAAGAAAACACGTTTTTTATTTGACAATAGTCATTCAACTCTGGTGGCAAAAGACTGCTTTCAAGTTACATCCCACATTTGTCCTTGTTGCAAATGGCAAAACAAATTAAGCACCAATATATTGCTCATTCGCGACTATGTCCCTGTTTGGCCTCAGGTGGAGCTGGCCCACTGGTTCTACATCGATTTCTACTGCACTGACGAGAGCAACGAGCTGCAGCCGTGCGGCATCAAGCAGTTCGCGCTGCACCTGTTCCACCACCTGCCGCTGCTCAGGCCGCACCTGGCCGACTTCGAGGCCGTGCTGGCGCGCTGGCGCGAGTACAAGCTGGCCGTGCCCACGTGCGGCGCCATCCTGCTGGACGAGACGTGCCAGCACGTGCTGCTCGTGCAGGGCTTCTACTCGCGCGCCTCGTGGGGCTTCCCCAAGGGCAAGTGTAACGAGTCCGAGCTTGGCGAGCTGCACCGGTGCGCCGTGCGGGAGGTGCAGGAGGAGATCGGCTACGACATCTCGGAGGCGCTCAGCCGCGAAGACTACCTGGAGCAGGTGGTGAACGAGCAGCGCGTGCGGCTCTACCTGATCCCGGGCGTGTCGCGAGCCACCAAGTTTCAGCCGCGCACCCGGAACGAGATCAAGTCGATCGAGTGGTTCGCGGTGGCGGACCTACCAACCGGTCAGAGGGACGCGCCGTCCAAGGCCAAGCTCGGGCTCAGTCCAAACAGCTTCTTTATGGTGATACCGTTTGTGCGGGCGCTGAAGCGGTGGATCCAGCAGCGGCCGGCGGCGGGGCCGACGGGTGGCCGCCGCCGGGGACGGGAGAGGCCGCCGGATGAGGCGCGCGGCAGGCAGCAGCAGGCGGGCTCCCAGGTGGGTGTGCACTGACGGGCGGGCTGACGAATGGGCATTACAATTGCCATAGCTCGGGATGTCGGGAGGAAAAGGATCGGTGATGGTGGTTGGTTTTACGCTCGCCGCAGCATGCTGGAAGTGGGAAGGAGAATCATGTCAACAGTCGAGCACACTCAGGGCTGCTGGTGTACTTTACCATTGTCATCGCATCGGTAGGACAGTACCTAGCAGTTACTTTTTAATGATATTACTGCTGCTGATCTTTTTATTTTTATTCGCTGTTGTGCTATCTGAAACTTTTATCGATACCCTGTAGTGTTTTATAAATACCTATCCTGAACAGAAATCGAACTATAGCTGCACCAGACCCCGGTCACTGATATCTGTTCCTCACACCGCTGTCCCCTGCCGCAGGTCCTTCAGGACGAGCCGACCGAGCTGGCGTCCCGCGGCGGCTCTCGAGGCCGCAGTGGCGGCGCCAAGGCGGCCGCCACGCCCCAGAGGCCCGCGCAGCCGGCCTCGCGGGGCTCGCGCAGTCGCACAAAGTCGCAGAGCAACTCCAGTCTGGCTGAGGACCGGTCAGCGATCGGCGACGAGTTCTCGGCGCCCAGCTGGGAGAACTTCAGTTTTGACAGAAAGAAAATTCTGGACGCGCTGGCAGGGTGACCTGCGAGGCGCTGTAAAAAGTGAGGGGAGGACGACGTGCTATGATGTGGGTGGAAGCTCCCCCAGCCAGTGTTAGTTGACGGACTCGGGGCCGATGTGTTATGCCTGAAGTGACCAAAGGTTTGTCATTGAAGGTCCGGCCAAGGCGTGAACTCGAACTGGCCAAGATGTGTGTTGCGCCCCATAAGTGCGAGCCGCGCCGAGCGCACACCGGTGGTGCGGCGAGATGGAGTTTGGAGGTGCTTCTGACCTACACCCGTACTAGGTCGTCCAGCAGGCTGTGAGCGGATGGTTTGGCATGGTTTGCCGTCCGTGCAGCAGCGACCCCGCCTTGGCGCACGCCGATATTGTGCGGCCCAGTGCTGTCTCAGCTAACACGATACAGCGCGACCATCGTCCATTGGATGTAGTCGGCAAGGCGTTCTTCCGAGGACGGACAAGGCGAGTCGGCTCTCCTCCGGGACCGGAAAGCTCCAGTGGTAGAGCTAAGCCGCTGACACAGTGGCTTATCTCACCGGTGTTATGGCTGCTGTCTGGTGCCTACAACGTGCCGCGTTCGGACTGTGCGAGCGAGTGGAAGCCTTCCATTCAGTGAGATTCAGATCGGTTCAGTGATCTCAAGTGTTGCGACGGCTAGTCTGCTCGGCGCCACGACCAGACGTTTTACACATGTGCCACAGCTGTTCCCCAAATGGAGGGACAGGAGCAAGGACTGATACAAAACGATCAATGATTGGTGTCATGTGTGGTAGCTTCCAAAGCCGTGTTAAGACGCGGGTATTGAAAACTTGGCCGGACAGGGAAAGTGTGCCCGTCTGCCAGCTGCAATATTACTCTTGCCTCGGTGGCCAGAACAATGACTCTCAAATTGGTTATGTGACCCGGTCAGAGTGTTTTTGTTAAAGCTGTCCAACTACTCTTCGTACTTCATGCCTGCCCCAGTACACTGATTCGTTTGAAGTTCAGTCGACTACACAGGCTGATTCAAACACCAAGTAGGTATTGCACCACGTTTGCTTCTGTGCCAATCTATTGTTTGTCATGCGTCGTCGCTGTTTAGCGTCACCTGACACGTGTTCTCGCCGTCATAGACGTAATATCGGATGAACATGTGAAAGAAACTGTTGAGACTTGCTCCCCTCTGCTCCTCGTTTGCCAAGACACCTGGCATAGCACAGTTTCACGTCGGCTTCTTACTCTACCGAGATAAATTTAACCCAGGCGCCAATGTGTATTGTGTATCAAATGTCTTCGTTTCTGATGTTATTCCAGCTGTCCGGCTGTCGTCGTTTCAGATCTTTCTTTCGCGGTATGTGAACAAGCCGCATTTTCGAAGTTATGTGTCTCGCGCGTCACACTCGTTTGGATCTACATGTTTTTCACGCATCATTACAATATATTACGCTGCTTCATAACACGTGTGACTGGTTGACGGTTTTGTCTCGGGTTGGTGAAACGATCGGCCAGGTCTATTGCCTATGCGGCACCTCCAAAGTTCTGTTCTGTGTATCTTGCTTGGTAACTACAGCCGCCCAGTGCAAGTGAAGAGTCTGGGGTGTCTATGATTATTAGCAGGGCTGCTCCAAACCTGATACGGTGCGACTCCTGTGCTCACTGTATCCACGCGATGCGGGGTCTCTGTTACCATGGCGACTGGCCGGTCATGCCAACAGTCGGGCAAGAGCGACATCTATCTGACATGACTACGACCGTCGACTGCGGCCGCGTCATTTACTACCTCGCCTGGCGTGTATGAGTGTATGTCTTAACGCCACCTACATTCCCACATGTCAGCACCGGCGACTGACCACTACTGCAGCTCCAGGCTTAATAATGGATGCAGCGACCGCGGCCGCCCCCGATGGCGACGAGAACTTCCCACGGGGGTCAATAGGTTGCCACGCCACCGCCGCGTGGTGGGTGCGTATAGGAAGGCACTCCTACTCCAGGAAGGCACCCGTCTCAGATGTGAGAGAAGGAGTTCCATGGTGCTGGGATATATTGTCTGCCAGAAAACCGGCGACCGTAGCAAAAGGTGACAATCCATAAACATCAAATCGAACAGACAAGCATTCGTTGTAAGGCTGTACATTGCACATGATTGCACATTTGGCTATATTTGCGAACACACGGTGGAGTATCACTCGACACAGCATTTTATAAATACTGTTCAACAACCAACGCCCTAAAGTGGGCCAATGAGAATGAAAATATCACACGATGAAATAGCCAGATAATCGATCACCACACTTGCATGATGCCCTGCGACGTGTACGAAGAACAAATGGTATAACTGCCAACCATGGATAGATTCTACATCTAATGGATTAATTCAGACGGGATTCAGCCAACCACGCCTGATATAATTGGTTAAAAAGATAATGTTTTGGAAAGCGCACGTAACGGCGGTGCATGCAAAAACAAAGAATGGTGTTGTGTCACGAGAGCTCGCATGATAGGCATATCCAAGGCGGCATATCTCATTCGAAAATATGCATCGAAACAACGACACCTAGAACACATCGTGTAACCTAACAGCTGGCATGCTACAGAGTAACCACGCACTGTTTTAACTAGTTTGTACGCTTTGGCGGCGAGTAACATCACTCCTGAAAGTATCTAATAATCACTCTAGAAAGTCGTAAATGCAAAAATCATCACACACTCATCGGACAGACATATGTTAAGTTCGGAATTTCGGGACCCGCTGAACATTAACATGATAATCGCATCGCTTCTTTTCATTGTTTCCCTGCATTTCTGTTAGAATGTGTAACAAGGAAAGAAAACAGTCGGAGTCGCTGACTGATTGTACGACAACCGAATTCATCTTGTTTTCAAAATGTATCAACAGCTTTGAAGACTTAAGTTCGCAATTATCTTAGGATGCGTTGAGCCAAGAATAACTTTTGATGTTTGGAAGCTGAGCGCTCAAGTTCAAGTCAGTTCCGGATTCCAATACACTAATTCATTCGACTTAAAATGAGATACTTTAATGATATCATCTGAAGGTCATCAATATCACTCTCTTATTCCCGAACTCAAGCCGCTAACAATTGATATAAAATCCGTTGGACTAAGGCACTAAAATACCATAATCAAGTACGACATGCATGACTAGAGTCGGTACTTCCTCCCCTTGCTGCCCACAGAGATCACGCCTTTTTCACTTTCCTCGTATTGACCACACACTTCTTGGTGTCGCCGCCATACTTGAGCTTCAGACCGTGGATAATGCTATCGTAGACTCGCTGGTTCTGAGAGACAAAGCGCGCGCGCCAGGCGTCTGACGTGTCGGTGAAACCCGGCCGACGGCGGATCCCGCCCGGCTGCGGCACGTGCGTGAGGAACACCTGGTCCAGGATGACCAGCCGGTAGCCGCGCAGACACAGCTCCGTCATCTGACCGGTCACAGGTCGGGGCATGGGTCAGAGCACGGCATGGGTCATGCCTGAATTCAAACACAGGAAGATTGATCGCGCGGGGAGACACGGGCCAGGCGATACGGTGTCATTGTAAGCCATTTTAACGATAAACCACAGGTAATACGAAGTAAAGCTAATGAACATGTCTCCAGCCTCCTTCCAAAACAGACCGACATCCGCGAGGGGACTCTGACCTGTGTCATTTTGTCCTGTTTGCCCTCCCAGCTGAGCCGTTCGTCATAGAGCGGCTCCGCCTGGGTACCGATGTAGATGGGCTCCCAGCGGTGGTAGGGCACCTCCCGTTTGACGATGCTGAGCGGCTGCCAACAGTGGAGCAGGCAGTCAGCAGAGCAGGAGGGACAGCGGCGAGACACACGTGGCGAAATACGGAATGGTCGCCCGGACCCATACAGACGATCGTCGGTATTTTGTGCAGCCGTCGGGAGGAAAACCGAATAGCGAATAAACCATTCAAGTTATGTTTCCTAATCGACTGGTCATGACGTAAATTGATCAGTGATAGATGCCTTACTATTTATATTTTATTATTGCCATTATTTTCACGCACAACTGATGGCAATGCCACATATTTAGTCGCAAACCAAGCTCACGACACATAACGCCTCCAAGCCGAATGGATCATGAGACCTCTCCAGAACTGTTACAGTCTGTTCCACTCTAGCATGCAGTCTATCCAGTCACTCCCATGACTCTAACCTGTAATCTTCCTGGTGTGAACGGCCGGCTGAAGTACTGGTTCACACCGGGGAACTTCTGGCAGTGCGGACAGACGTAGCGGTGGAACCAGACCGCCTCCTTGGCCTGCGCCATACGGATCAGGTCCGCCTTGCTGGTGGGGAGCCGGTTCTGCACCTCGAACACGGGCAGCACGTACACCCGGCGATACTGTGAATTAGGTAACATGGCAGAGTGGCAGTCACGGGAACATAGCAACACCAGCAGGAATATTTATAGCACACAGCTCAGAACTCGGAAGCCCAGTCAGTTCAGTGATAAGGACACTGACCTGCTTGTTGGTGGCGTTTGCTAGTGGTGACCGCACTCGGCCCCCAAGCAGCGTCTGGTCCCGGCTCTGCCTCGCCAGCATGTCCATGAACATGGTGACCGCACTCGGCGAGGGCACCAGCTCCGCGTCCGACACGAGCACGAAGCGGGTGCGCGCGGCGCGGCGGGCCGCGTTCCGCGCGACGTTCACCGGGTAGGGCAGGCCGAGCTGGCGGCGCCGGGACGGCTCGGCTTGGGGAGGCGGCCGCTCGCAGTCGGCCCCCTGCGCCGCCACGGCCGGCAGGCGGGCCAGCGCCGGCGGCCGGCGCCGCTCCAACACCAGGTGCACGCTGACGTGGCGCCGGAAGGCGGCGTCGCAGCGGCGCAGGTGCGCCAGCCGGCCGGCCAACGCGCCCGCCTCGCCCGGCAGCACGAAGACGGCCAGCGAGACGGGCGCCGACCAGGCGGCAGCCAGCAGCGGCGCGTGCTGCGCCGCGCCATCCGCCGTGGCGTGCGTACACAGCGTGACGCTCTGGTTGGCCGCCGGCTGCAGGGCCGCCAGCAGCCAGTCGTAGAGGACGCAGTACGGCCCGGCCTCGCCCAGCTGCGGGGAGGGCACCGGGGTCCAGCGGACGCCGTCGACAGAGGTGGCGTTCAGGTCAGAGCAGTGCAGCTCTGCCCCCTCCTTGGTAGATGGCTCGGTCAGAGCAGCAGGACGCACTGTGATAGGTGTCCTGATCACATGATGCTGAGGTACGCCCAGCTGCAGTGGAGACCACATCACTTGTACAAAGGAGACTAGCAGGAGGGCAGCGGTCAGCCGGATACAGCACAGCCGTCGGCCATGAACTCGGAGCATTGCTGCCACGGCACTTCAGAATAGCCTGCACAAGGGAGAAGGATAATTGTCAGAGGAAAATATGCAAGCTGTTTCCAGTTCAAAATTGTTGGTACCAGCAATGACACCAATGACAAAAGCCATAGAAAAAAAAAACAAATGAGCATGGTTGGCTGGTCATAGTGGCAAACTGGCAAGGCTTATAGTAGGTATAGCATGCCATATACCTACTGTAGGTTCAATAGTAAGAAATGTTCCTCAACTTCCATAAAACATGCATCAATTCTATTGATGAGTTCTCACATAATGCCAATATCTAGGTACTCAAATAAAATATATCAATATAAAATTAAGCAAATGCAGGCTGCAGCAGTCCAAACTGTGATGCAGCTCAGTCCTCAGGTCAAGGTAGGTATCACACAAGATCCTACGGAAAATGGAAGAGGCTGTTGAGATCCCGCCTGGTCAGGCTCTCGGGGATCACGGCCGCTGCGCCGTGGAGGACCGAGACAAGGCCGAGGCGTTCAACAGGACCTATGCCAACGTGAGCCGTCAAGTACGAGCCAAACGCCAGGATACCAAGACCAAGGCGGAACTGAGGACACTCAACGGAAGAGAGTGCCAGTGTGGAGGCGCCCGCTCCGGGGTTTGTTCTCCGTTTACACCCCAGGAACTGGAAGCGCAGCTCCCAAACATGAAGTGCCGGAAGGCTCCGGGCCCGGATGATATCTGCGCGGAACACCTGCGCCACCTGGGCCCTGTTGCCAAGTCCGCGCTCCTCCGCCTGATCAATCAGACCTGGGCCTCGGGTCTCACGCCGTCGGCCTGGCGGCGGGCGTCCATCGTCCCGATTCCCAAGGCAGGGAAGGACCCGAAACTGACCTCCAGCCACCGACCGATCGCCCTCACCAGCCACCTGGCCAAACTCGCCGAGCGACTGGTCGCTGCACGACTCACACACGTCACACATAGTCGAGCGTGACGACCTAATCCCATGCGAGCAGGTCGGCTTCCGCCGGGGCAGATCGGCCGAGGAAAACCTGGCTAGACTCGTGCAGCGCGTGCAAGATGGTTGGAACAGGCCGAAACCAAAGGGAAAGCCGGTCGACGGGAAGACCGCCGAAAAGTTCGCCCTGCTTGCGTTTGATTTCTCCAGAGCCTATGACGTCATAGACCACAGGATGCTCCGACTGAAACTGTTCCGGCTCGGAGTGCCCAAGTGCCTGACGAACTGGGTCTGGGCGTTTCTCCGAGACCGTAGAGCGGCTGTGGTGGTCAGCGGCACAAGAAGCAGAGAGCGCCCCTACCGAGCCGGCCTCCCCCAGGGCAGTGTGCTGGCCCCCACACTATACACGCTGTGGGCCGCGGACCTGATCACCGCCCTGAGGTCTGTTCCCGGTACCGAAATCTTCATGTACGCTGACGATACAGCGACCCTCAGCAGCGGAGCCACAATAGAGCAGGCGGGGAGACGAGCCCAGCAAGCAGCGGACGCCATCTCCGCGTGGGCTGACCGATGGAAGATGCGTGTCGCTGGGGAGAAGACCCAGGCGCTTGTTCTGTCCCAGTGGGCCCGCGACGCATCGAGGCTCTCCATCCGGGTCGCCGGAGCGGAGGTCACCGGTGGTGCCACACTGCGTCTCCTGGGCGTCTCTTTCGACCGGCTGCTACACTTTGGAGCCCACTGCAACGAACTACGTAAGAAGGTGCGCCCCCGTACGGCCCACCTTCGTCGCATGACCGGTAGGAGCTGGGGCCTGACCGAGCGGCAGCTGAGAACCGTCGCTAACGGCTACGTACGGGGTGCACTGGAGTATGCGGCGGGTGCGTGGCTGCCTGCTGCGTCGGAGAGCCACCTCACCCTGATTGACCGGGAGCTGAGAGCTGCCGCCAGGGTGGTGACGGGCTGCCTAGCGTCGACCCCGTCACACGCCCTGATGGCGGAGGCGGGCCTCCCCACTGCAGCACACATGTGCCGCGACATTAGAGCGGCGCGGCAGCTAGCTCTGGCGGCCTCGCTGCCTGCAGGGGACCCGCTCAGAACCCTGGCTGACTCGTCGCCACCAAGACGTCTTGCAGCGACCCTCGGCTGGCGAGACAGAGGCCGTGAGGTGTTCGCCCGCCTGTCGCCGGGGGGCGAGCCTCTCACCATCAAGGAGCGGCTCCATGTCTCCGCCCCGCCATGGCAGGACGGCGGAGAGGTGTCCTTCCACCTGGAGGTAGGCCCCGACGGCTCCAGGGACCGCCCGCCGGAGCTGAGAAGAAGGGCGGCGGAGGAGCGATTGGAGTCGTTCCCGGCGGACGCCACCTGGATCTGGTCGGATGGCTCAGCCGAGGAAGGAGTGCACCGCGGTGGAGGAGGAGCGCTGATCGTGGCCCCCGACGGTGCCACAAGAGAGGTCCGTGTCGCCGCTGGCCGCCTCTGCTCAAGTACGCGAGCAGAGCTGTTTGCGCTGAGGGCCGCGCTGGAAGATCTGACTTCGACACCAGACCGGGATACGACGCGCCCGATTATCATCTGTCTCGACTCAAAAGCGGCACTGGCTCTCCTCAAGAGCGGTCCAGCGGCCCAGCGGACGCCGGTAGCAGCCGACATCTGGAAGGCGCTACAAGGCATCAGTGCGACCGGCCAGCCCATCCAGCTGCAGTGGGTGCCGGCGCACTGTGGGCTGCCGCTGAACGAAAGAGCGGACGGCCTCGCCAAGGAGGCCAGTGCCCTGCCACAAGAGGACACACCCATAGATGTCACCACAGTGACCAGAGCGGCTGCCCGCTCAGCTTCTACGAGGTGGAGGGAGGCCTGGCCGGACGGGTGGCACAAGGAGATCTGGGGCTCCCGCCTGCCGGGCCCGGTGGAGGGCGAAGACCGCTGCTCTGCGATTGACGTCCACCAGCTCCGAGCCGGCCACTGGTCCTGCTCGGAGCAGTACCTTCACCGCATCGGCCGCCGACCGACGCCCGAATGCGAGCAGTGTGGCTCCGTGAGGTGCCCGGCCGCGCTGTGCCGTGTGTGCCGAGAGGAGGCCGACACCCCGCGGCACGTCCTGCTGCGTTGCCCGGCGCTGGCGGGACGCCGCCTGGCACGAGTGGGCACGATCCACCCTACGGTGACCGAGCTACAGGACGACGGCGTGGTGGCGGCCTTGGCCGCCGGCTTTCGAGCCCAACTGAGCCGTCTGGCTACGCCCCCCTAGTGGGGGGGGGGGGCGGAGGGAGCAGCAGCAACAACAACAACAACTGGTAGGTATCATAAGTAGCAATACAATATGCATAGCTAGGTCATAGGTGATCACTGATCAGTGATGAATATGCAATCCAAATATTGACACAACCATGACTCATGACTGTTCCACTCTTCAGAATCAGCAAGCATTCATGCCATGGGAAATATAATGCAAAATTAGCCAACATAATCCCAGAATCAAGCATCCAAATTCCAAACTGTCAAAATCACACAGTACAGTAACACAGTTAACTCAAACTTGAACTTCACACTTTTCACCTGCAAGTTGCAAGGGTTGCAAGGACTAGAGATTGATCAGTACCTTTGCCTTACAGTTTGGACAGTCTCTTCACACTTCGCACACAGCCCAAGGCTGTAGAACTAACCAATATACCCTGAGAACTAACGCCTTATACAACCCACCATGGCCTTGCAATCCATGATCCATGGTGCTAATAAATAATGCAATCAACATGCACGCCCACCAGTCACCACTCAAACTAGGCCAGTGTATATAAAGGCCTTGCACACAAGTGTATATAAATACTTGCAGTTGCGGGTGGTTGCGGGCCTCAAGGCTGTAGCGGGCCTTGTGTATGACGCCAAGCTGAAACAGCAGTGAAACATATGAGTGAAACAGTCCCACATGTCAACGTAGGGTAAGTGGCTCCTATCACGCACACGTCCTAAACACGCACACCAATGACTCTTTTTAATATAGCTGCCCAAGCAGAAGTGTAGAAAGCATAAATCGACCGAAAACGATTTCTGGCAACATTTGTGCCGCGGCGGGCAGTTGTTTCAGCGCTCTCGCATCAAAAGGTAAGTAATGATAGCATGTTTTGTAAAGGAAGTGCTGATTTTTAACGCTGAAAAAGTTCCTGATATAATAATGCGTGTATCGGTGTGCATTAATTTTTCACGGAACCATAAATATACCGGATAGATTATCAGGCATCAATTTGTGGCCAATAAGTCAGTGTTTTCTTTGATCATACGTGTATTACCTGGAATGCGTCGAGGAAGACAGGAAAGGGCTGAATGTGAAGCGTGCGTGTTTAGGGCAGCTGGTTCTCCAATGACGCTCAGGTGCCATGCTGCATAAATGCACATACATCAGATGGATTTTTTAACGTTTCTTTTTAGAGGGAACGGTTTAAATCGCATTACTGTGATACGTTAACATTTGACAGAGTTCTGGAAGATTGATGATCCCCTGCGTTTTGACAAAAAGCCAAGGGATTTAAAACCAGGCCCGGGGGCTCGGACGGTGACTCCAGGGCGGTGTTTCACGGCCGCTAGCAGCGCGCTGCCTGCACACGTGTCAAATTGGGTTTCCACGGAGACCAACAAACTCGTATATCCAACACAGCTGCAAACTGTGACATCAGCTCGCGAAATGCGCTGGCAGTGTGCTGCTATCGGCCGTGAAACACCGCCCTGGCCCGGGGCTCGACCACCGAGATCGGGCCCTGGGACTCGGCTGGAGAGCCCAGGGTCTCGGGTGGTGAGATCGGGCCTGGAGCCTCAGGTGTGAGACCGGGGCCGGGGTCTCGGACTGTCGGGCGGTATCACCGGGCCCGGGGTCTCAGGCAGTGGGGCTAGGCCCAGGGTCTCGAGCGGTAGGACCGGACCCAGGGTCTCGGCCGGAGAGACCGAGTCTGGGGCACTTTCAAATAAAGCGATTTGTCCATACTTATTTCGATGATTTTGATCCCCATCCTGTCATCTCTTCCTGTGCGCATTTGAAGCATGTGCATGTGCGTAATAACAGCACTGATGCTCTATAAGCGCACACCGGGAGTTGGTCGACGTTTGGCCTTATATATCATAAATGATAGAAAACCGCTGAAAAGCAAATGCCGGGCTAAACAAAGAAATGTTTAGGACAACTACTGGTACCAACCTTGTCAACATTACAGGCGTCAGTAGGCCACACGAGTAGTTTTCCTGTTAGGTGTGCGTGATAGGGGCCACTTACCCTAAGCGAACAACAGCGTCACCGACGGCAAAGATCAGAAGCATCAGTTTGTTGTAGGTGGCGCTACTGTATGGTATGGGACGAATGGGAAGAAGTGCACCCACGAGGGCTGTGCAGTGTGCACGGGTTCAAGTTCTCACCGTGGGTCAAGGCTGCGACCAAGTAAAAGGTGTGAGGAAGCATTCAGTCAGTTAGCATCTGTAGCGTATCGCCTAGCAATTACCAGACGTCCTGGCGTCAGACAAACACATTTTCACGTAATACAATGCCCTAGAAAATCCGAACAACCTTAAAAGTAGTATGCTCTGTATTTAATGACGAGACGAGTCGACAGCAGGCCATATAAATGGCTAATATCCTGGACGACTTCCACCAGCGCGCGTTTTGGGTCACCCAACAACCCAAGGCCATATAAGTCCAACAACCCACGGCGATTCACATTCGAAGGGGTCATAATGACGAATCGGGAAATGGAAACAGAATCTGTAGACTGTAATGAACCTCAGTGTACAATCGGAACTGTCACGAAGTAGCGTTTGCATTTGCCGTGATTGTTAGATGGTGTGAGCAGTTCACTTGTCACTCTTTGGAAGACGCAAGTTATTAACATTACACATAATACACGGAATTATTTACTCAGCGAATATGAAACAAACACCAGAGCAAAGCTAGCGGTGCGACCCTTCGTTAAATCATGTCACACATTTGTGAGCTGTCGATAGCGAAGAAGACACGGCGAAAGTAAGCGAAACGAATGGCTATATACAATGCTGATGGAATAACTTCTAGAGCGCCTCATGTCTCACCGCTCAGAATGCCCCACAGACGCTCAGGTGACACGCCAGCATCCTTTGTGTATCCTGATATCCCCTCATTTCCGTACCGGACTGGCGCCTCTGGACAGTTGGTCCTCTCCGCAGTTAGCGCAGGATGGCGTACTCAGTCACGGTGACTACCCCATCCGCTTGGCGCTCTGCTAGGATCACCAGTGAGCGGAGGCTACACACCGCTGCAGACCGACCAGAGACCGAGCGGCGCTGCCTCCCGTCCCGCGTACCAGCTCCGATAACTAACTACTTACTCCAGCGGACCCTACTGCTAACCCAACTACCGCCTTATAGACCCAGCCCTTATCGTAAATCGCATCCCTCCAATCGTTAGGACTTGATACTCTCCCCCCCCCCCCCGGCGGGCCCAATCATATCTGGTCCTAACGAATTCGCGCCCTCTGCTCCAAGATTGTCTTTGCCCCCTTCCCAGCGAACTTCAACCCTTCCTCCAAGCTTCAAGTCCTACTCCAATGATTCAATAATTATTCCCAATGGCGGCCCTCAATCCCACCCCACAAAGATCTTTACCTCAATCCTCCTTTGGTCCGTTTCTCCCCTCCCATCTCTCCTATCCCACTAAACCCTCCCTCGCTCGCTCGTTCCTCAGGCGGCCTTTCCGTCCGTCTCCGGGCGCGGGCAGAGCGGCCGGAACAGATGGCAGCACTGCTCGGCGGCCGGCCGGTCCCCCGCGCGCACTGCCGAGCACACGGTGTATATCTCCACGAACGGACGGTACTCGGCCATCAGCGCGGCGCCCAGCTGAGGCACCGGCGGCGGCACGCCCATCTGAGACTCGAAGTAGCCGTCCGAGCCGGTAGAGTCGTCCATCTCGCTGTCAGAGCTGAGCTCGCTGTTGTCCAGGTCGGGCAGGTCGGAGGCGTGCGGCATCTCCAGCGCGAACATCTCCCTGTCGGTCGGAGCGGAGCGGAGAGGGAGTCAGGGCGCTGCGGCCGAGGGAAGGTCTGTTTACACAGGGGGACCATGAGAGTAGTCCACATAAGGGTAATTTAGAGCAGCATTGTACTGAAATGGCAAAAATAACATATTTGCACCTTTGACGTTTAGCTTTTAGTTTGGAGGTATCCATCCACCGACAGTCACTGCTCATTTATGTACTGTTGTACAATATGTTACACTCCAATAACTAGGAGTATAGGCTAAATACGGCACACTCATCCATTCTCCACCTTACGGTAATTACCTCTCCGCATAACTCTCGGGCCTCGCATCTCATTCTCCACCCACTGCACCACCCCTCCTCCTCTCTCCCTCTCTCCACTCACCACAGCGTCAGCGCGTACGAGTAGATATCCGTCTTGTGTGTGACGTCTCCGTCAAACACCACCTCCGGTGCCGACCACGGTTCCGTGCCCACATACGTCTGGTCGCCAGTCACCGCCAGCTGATTGTTCAGCGGCAGCGACACGCCAAAGTCGCACAGCTTGGCCCGCTGGAACGCGCCGAACACCAGCACGTTGGCCGACTTGAGGTCGCCGTGCAGCAGGTGCTGGTCCGTGTGCAGGTAGTGCAGAGCAGATGCGATGTCGAGGCCCACCTGGAGGGATAGGGAATGAGTTAGACGGCGCGACTCTGATCGGCTAGTCGTAGGTACGAATTGTTGGTCACATACTGATAGCAGGGCAAAGCATAAGGTTTATAATCACACTTTTTCTGGGCATTGATAGGAGCATCTATAGTACGAGCTCGTCCAATTGTAAAACGTCCATTTCACTGTCAATCATCCTCTGGCCAAGTACCCACCCATGTCACTAATCTCGTCCCCCAGACGGTTTCCCCACGACACCCGTGACCCGGGCCCCCGGGCCGGTGTCTGTCACCGCGCGGCAGGCGCACTCACCGTGGCGATGGCGCTCAGCGGGAACGGTCCCGGGTCCGGCTCGGACTCGGCGCGCGTCTCGATCAGGTCCATTAGCGAGGCCGAGGCTGCCTCCATCAGCAGCGCCACGGAGCCGGGCGCCGAGCCGGCCGCCACGCCGCGGTAGCCGACCACACACGGGTGGCGCAGGCGGCGCAGCAGCTCGGCCTCGCGCGCCAGCCGCGCCGCCTGCTCGGGCGCCACGTGCACGCGCCGACTGAGCCGCTTCACGGCCCACGGCGAGCGCTGTGTGATGCGCCGCGGCGTACCGCGCTCCAGCAGCGACACATTGATCCCTGGAGTGTGTGGCAAAGGGTAGATCAGAACTAATATTATAAATCCATAAACAAAAAGATTCATGTTGGTGGCGATGAGTACGACCTGAGCAGTCATTGGGGTTTGACAAGAAGCTTTTTTTGTTATTAAGACGCATATTCATTCATATTTGGCTTCCTCGCCTAAATAAAATGGCAGAATGAGTTGAAAAAAGCAACAACTGTTCATTCTTTACCTGTCCAAGACCCTAATGTTCTTACCATAAAAAATTAAGATTTTGGAGAGAAAGTTTTGCTACATGTCCTATATAGATAAATATTGGAGAAATCACTTTCACTACAGACCTTTGTATTTCTAGAGTGCCTAGGTGTAGAAAGGCCTATGCTCTCAAACACGAGTGATACATGAATAATACGATGATATTCTAGGTCCCCTTATAATGAAAATAGAACTTAGGAGACATCAATATTGTTTGATAGCTTCTAAACATCACAACTTCTTCAGCCTTTTAACATTTTTGTGTGAAATTCCTCACATACCTGTACCATAACCTATAACCTTCATCATTGGTGACTCTGGAATCAGGATTTCATTCCATTGCTTTGAGGCTCTTCTTCTTGCGGGCTTTGATGGTGTCTTAAAAATGTCACTCTGATTGTCAGCCATAGTGAATACTGAATTATGAAATAGAGATGTTGACAGATGACCTGAAATCATAAACAATGATAAATACCTACACTATAATTCAAAATATTTAATACATTTAGTATAAATTCAGAGCAGAGACTTAGAGCAAATGAAGGGTGAGCAACTGTTCAAGTAATTGCAAATGGAACATCGTAATTTCTTAGTTAATTTCTTTCCAAGGACTGTCTACATCAACATGGAAGCAGGGAACACTAAAACTTGTGAGCAAAGCAAGCATACCTATCCACATTCCACTGGCACTGTCTAGTGTTATTCCCTTCAATATTTCACATCTTTCTGGACAAGTAATAAAAATAAACAAGCCTTCAATAAACTGATTTCAAAATTTCAAGGCATAGGTCAAAGTACACTCCGTGACTCGGTCAATGAAAAGATACCTTAATCTTTAACATCCTGATCTGGGTGTGGTATTTCTGAGGTGCAAATGCAGCACAAAAATTGTACTATGCTGCTTTTGTTTTAATGGTTGATATGCTGAATTCATTTTTCAATGGTGCAAGACAATCAAATAAAATCTTAGGTCAGAGTTTGACTTTGGCACCCCTCACCGTCTATACCAGAGCTTGAGCTCGGTGGTACGCGGGTGTAAGTTTGGTTAGGTTTAAAATACCTACTTCCAAGCCTTTAGCAACAAAACAGCAAATAATAAATGCGTAAATACCCGTAAACACTTCCATTCAATATGAATTACAAACAAATGCAAACTCCTGCACGCCAGGACTGTCGCAGCGCGCTGTGACTGCCGCATTATTTTCAATTTGCCCGCGCAAACTTTGGCGCTACCAAATCTAAGAACCTTCACAAAACACTCATCGCTAAAGTACTATATTGTTCACCTCCTTCACCTGTGGGGCTGGGGGAGTAGTAGGGTAACTGTGGGGAAAACGCACCCCTGGGTTAAACGCCTCCCCCTAAGAAAATCGTATTTCTTATCGACGGATAGGTGTTTTATCCTGTCTTTCAGAACAGTCAGCTGCTTGTTTACGTAGGTCTCTATTTCCGGTTCTGCGTCTTGAGGAGCAGCGTAGGTAGGTGCTGATGTTGGTTTTGGGTGTTGTTTTTGTTGTTTTTACAGAAGATTCCTAATATTTTGATGCCCTCCTTCTATCACAAAACTTGCTATTGTGCACATCACTCAAAACTGCGTTTTATTGTCATTCTGTTGAATTTATTCTGCTGCGGCGTTAGTGGCGCGTTTTTTGTCAATATTTTGTTGACCGGAAATGGAGTGGATGGGGAAAGACGCCTACTCGATGCATGGGGCAAGACGCCCCCAGTTTTCTGAAAGGGGGGCGTTTTGCCCGATGGTGAGAGTGCAGGGTAGCACCCTGTACGTCGGGCCGAAAAGGCCTCTCCCTGTCCTTTTTTGCCGATATACCCTAAACGACTGCAGATATCGTCACCAAACTTTCAGGACTCCTCCGGGCATCCATTTTACACATTATAACAAAATTTTATTCCAAAAGCTATGATAGGTTGACCACAAATGACGTCAGAATGACGTCAAGTTCTGTCATGTTCATCATGTTCTGTTGATGGATATGGTGGGGGGCGCTTTGCACATGGGTGTGGGCGTATTACCCAGGGTGTGGGGCAAAACGCCCTTTTGTAAGGGTATGCAAAAACCTTTTTGGGGGGTTAAATAACACACGCAGGTGTATTTTCTTGGTCTCAAAGCGTAGTAAAAAGAATGAGCTACATGATGGTGCCCAAAGGTTTGAGTAATCTGTATTGGGTTGAGTGTCAGAAGGTTTCGCGCTTAAGGGGGGCGTTTTTGACCTATTCACCCTAAAGGTTAATCTTGGGCTGGGGCTCCGGCTCTGGGAAAGGGGCCGGGGCTGTGGGCTGTAGCACCTGGCAGTTGGCACCCTTGCTCGTGCACGCGGAGTCGGAGTCGGAGTCAGAACCGGAGTCGGTGGCAGTCGGTAGTTTAGCCCGGATGTCGGAATCCGGGAGTTGGAGTTGCTAAAATCTTACCAAATCCGACTCCGGAGTCGCGTGGTTCAAAGTCACCCATGGCATGGCTGATGGCTGCTTGACGATATTTCGCTCGTTGACAGTGACGTACCTAAAGGGGGGCCACGGGGGCCATGGCCCCCTCCTGAGCGCCGAAGGCGCTCAGGGGGCCCCTCAGGCCCCGGTATATTTTTTTAAACACTGGATGAAACGTCTTTTACTAGGAAGAAAAAAAAATGATATCAAAGTTTCATTTATGTGCCCCTGGTTACCCGAGGGGCCCCTGATGACCCCATGGGCCCCTGCAGTCATCCGAGGGCCCCCAGTTTCCTGGGCCCCTGGTCGCCTAGGGGGCCCCTGGTAGCCGGGGCCTGGTCGCATGTGGCCCCTGATTGCCTGGGGTCCCTAGTCGCCTAGGGGGCCCTGGTAGCCGGGGGGCCTGGTCGCATGGGCCCCTGATCGCCTGGGGCCCCTAGTCGCCAAGGGGCCCCCTGGTAGCGGGGCCTGGTCGCATGGGGGCCCCTGGTTGCCTGGGACCCCTGAGGGCCCCTGGTCGCCTGGGCGGCCTGGGGCCCCCGGGTGACCTAAGGGCCCCTTCGGAAGCAGGTGGCCCCCTCCTGGGCGAAATCCTGGGTACCTACCTGCCTGCTCGTTGACCTTTCAAAATCAGAGTTTGTTGAAGCTAGGGACATACCTACCCCTGTTTTGGACGAGCATTTTATTGAACGAAGATGAAGACGGCTGTTGCGTCAAAAGCTGTTTTATTTCTGCATGCCAGGTATTTAATTAAAAAGTTTCCGTACCTACTTTTTTGCAATGCAGGATATTGGAATCCGCAAAGGGTCGCTTCAGTTAACCCGCGCCCCACTGGGGTCTGTGTATAACACACCCCACTGGGGGGGGGGGGGGTATTCATAGCCCCCCTCCTAACTCCGAAACTACTGGGCCGATCGTCAAAATTCAAACGGTATCTGATAGCCCCGGAAAAACTGTCGAACGAAACCTAATTTCATTGACCTCGAAGTCACCGATGACGTCACAGGTCAGGCCAAAGTAAAAATTATCGATATTTGGCTTCTTCACTTTTTGGGCTCTGGGCTCTGGCTGCCGTCTTACAAGTCATATCAGGCTGATTTTTGGTTTACACACTCGTGAACAGATGCTTCAGATACCCTGAGGGTACCAAACTTGTACTTCGATTTTCAGGTCAGGGTCGGGTCATCATAGGTCACGGAAATATTATGTCATAAGTCGGTCATGTGACACATGTTTTATGGTCCATTTAGGCCATAGATTTCGAATTCGATGTCGCCTGTGGCTGTGTCATTTGAGGCCATTTTCATCTAAATAAATCTGATGTCAGGTCACTTTCAGGTCAAAAAGGTCAAATTTCAAAGCTGAAATTTGTCAACGAAATCATGTCGGTCGGATGCAGTTAGAGCTTAGGAACATGATGGTGCTATTTATATTGGTGTACGATGTCAAATTTGTACAGAAAAATTGATTTGAAAAACTTAACCCTCGCGGGCCCGGGGGGGGGGGCGTTTTTCGCCCCCCTGGCGAATATTTGCGATAGCTCCCGAACGCTTAGGGATAGGAAGGCGAAACTTTCAGTACCTTTTCTCCCATCAATTTGACATCTTCTGAAGTAAAAAATTTGGACCTAGCCCCCTTGATGACGTCACAAGGTCCATTTTTCTAGACCCCTGCACGGCAAACTTCGGCGTCACAGACGCAAATTTCAAATAGCTGCTAAAAATAGAGTTTTAGAGATAAAGACAAATTACGAGCACGGTTGTGTAGCGTTTGACCTAGAGAAAAATAGAAAAATAGTTTTGGTGACCTGAGGTCAGAGGTCAGGTCAACGACCCCGAAATGTGGTTTTAGTTTTTCGCAAATAACTTCGACAAAAATGGTTCTAGAGCTACGACATTGGTACCATCGCATTCGCCTTGTCAAGCCGCGTCGAATGATATATATTTTGTTCGGAAAAGGTCAAATTTTATGTTGACCTCATGTGACCTCGAATGACCTCTGGTTGACCTTGACACATGAAAGGTCGTTTATGATGGATTTGTACCCGCTGATCACGAATCTGGCATCTATTTTCCTCTAAGCCTTCATTTAGAGCTTCCGGATTGCAAAATTGTCTTATTTATTATTACTAACTTGAATCAGTGAAATAGCCTCTAGCAGGGATACTCTTCTGTGACCTTGACCTTTGAGCAGCCTTGTATCGTAAGATGAACCACAAAAGGGAACTGATAAGCCTCAAAACATTTCAAAACATCTTGAAAGTTAGCACGCAAGATATGCGAAAAAGTGCCAAGTTTGAGGTCAATTTTGAGCGTGACCTTGACCTTGACCTTTCACTTTGAGAACATTTTCAGAATCCTCAGATTCTCTTCTTTCGTTTGACAGCCAATTTTGCGGGTTTGATGCAGCCTGCCGTCCTCTAGAAGGCTTACTTTGAGATCACTACACATGTGGCGGTTTTTGCCTTTGACCTTGACCTCTGACCTTGAAAATTGACCTGAGGTCAAAAATTTTAGGTGCATTAGAATCGTCTCGTAAGGACCTTTCGTTTGGTATCGCTTTTGTTTCCGTAGCTCCCTTATTTACGGAGTTAGACAGGGGGGGGGGGGCGAAAAACGCCCCCCCCGGGCTGCGGTGGTTGGGATTACCCCCCGGGCCCGGCCGGGTTAAAATTGAGAAATTTTTGCTATAATGCGTATAACTTAGCCATTTTTGAAGATAGGTATCTGGCTTAAACTTGCTAGAGTAAGTCATAAGCATGTGTTCTATCATAAATATTCCGTTTTTTCTAAGAGTCAAAAAGTTTTTGAAAAAAATATACCTAAAAATACAAATTTTGAATCTTAATATATATAATTTTCAAAACTTTCAAAATTTTAAAAATTCGAGATAGCACTTTGATAGCGCAGTGCATTCTGAGTCCTCTCATGCAAAGAAATTGGATCTAGCTCAAAAACGAGCTCTTGGGAGCGATTCCCGTGGTTCAATGTTTTATTGTTTTGCGTCGAAATCGGCCGAACATGACGTCAGTCTGACGTCATGTCCGGCCGACCTATGATAGATACGAAGTTCCAATTTTGACACAAGGCGTCAAATTGATGCAGCCGAAGGTACTGAGAGTTTGGCGGCGATACGTCAAGCGGTTTAGAAGTTATTGCAGAAAAACGGGAGGGGGCTATGAATAGCCCCCCCCCCCCCAGTAGTGCGCAGGTTAACCCGCGCCCCAGTGGCGGTCAAAGCCAACTTCGCCCTAGTGGGGGGGGGGGGGGGGCATATGTTACCACCCACCTCTAACTAAAAAACTAAGAGGGCTAGAAAGACGCGGTAAAAAGCAGTCGATAGCTCTTGATGCTTACGTTTGAAAGTATTTCAGTCATTTTTCACCTTAGAGCAATATTGGGGTCACCAGAGGTCATCAAAGGTCAAAATTTGCCAATTGTCATTATATTTTTCAGAAAACATGCCGCTATCTCAGGAACTATGGTAGCTAGAAAAGCGCATAGAAGAGCAATCAATAGCTTTTGAACTCTTCTTTTGAAAAGGTCATTATCAATATTGACCCAAGGTCAACCGTTTAGCCTCCAGAGGGCAAAAACTCCAAAAATAGCTGTTTTTACGAAAAGTGTTTTTCGACAATAACTTTCGACTACAAAAAGCCACGACATTTCTATTGCCAGAATCGTGTTCCCTCGCCGAGACGCGTCGAATGAACTATAATTTGACCTTGA